AGGAAGAGAGAATTAGTCACGCTGGTACGGTGGCCCCAGTCTGTATGAGCATACCTGCATTCTCTAATTTGCTCTGGATTGCCCCATTTTCTTACTAATTCCTAATTCTTCAGGGATAAGAAAGTGATTTCAATGCTGATTAGGTATTTATAATGATGTATATTATGTGAGGATTTACATCCCCCAGTAAGACCATGAGCTTTTACAGCTGCAATTTGCTTTGCAGAGGAAAACTACTGAAGACATCCATTTCCCATAGGCAGCCTCAGGACCTTCAGTGTCTTCTACTCAAAAGCTTCAAAGCCTCTTTTCCATAAAATCCTCTCTCTGTATTTTCCAATTTTTCTGTTATTTTGGTTCATCTTGAGCCTCATCCTGCTCACCCTATATCCCAGTTGCTGTTTGAGTGAATAGAACAGCTTCTGTGAGTAACAAGAGCTTGGTCTCTGGCATGACCGAAGTCAAGACATGTGGAATATCATACTCCAACTCAACTAAAGCTTGTACAAAAGTATTTGGTTTCATAAAGAAACTCAAGAGAAACAGAAAAATTGGACTTACCCCTTCAGCAACAGGAATGAATGTGTTTAGGAGCAAAGAAGCGAATGAAGGAAACTGGGATGAGAAACCTTTTATACTCTTCCAAAGGTTTATCTGGGACATGAGGCATCTCTTGGCAAGTGTAACCTAATTACATATCCCAACCCATTTCAATCCCCTGTATTCAGCTTCCCACATTTTCCCTTTGATGCACTGTACTTTTAGCATTGTAATTGTCCCATAGGATATTAATAGCACTCTAATTCCTTTGCCTCCCTATGAAAGATATTGGAAGGTATTTCACACAAAGTGACGCCAATACCAAAGAAACTACTGGATCCGGTCACGGGCAGCAAGTATCAAGTGGAAGAGATGTTTGTAATTCAGTAGAACCATTTCCTCAAGCAGTGCCAGGATGTCACATGGACTGAGAGGTAAATGTGATCACACCTCCATGTGAAAGAAAAATCCTTGCTAATCTTAACACATGTGGATTATGTTTAAGGCAGGAATACTTCAGTTGAATTGCCTAATGGCACAGGATATTGTAATGAGAGATCCAGCATTATCCCATCGATGTCTTCACTAATAATTTCAACCTGTCTGCATGGTGTGTCCTATCAAAGATTTCTATTATTATTGTGTTGACCTGTCATAACATAAGAAGGACATGGAACTGTTGGAGCAAGTCCAGAGGTGGCCACAAGGACCATCAGGGGCTGGAGCATCTCCCATACAAAGGCTGAGAATACTGGGGCTGGGCAGCCTGGAGAAGAGAAGCTATGTGGAGACCTCAGATCAGCTTCTAGTGTCTGAATGGTACTACAAGGATGCTGGAGAGGGACTCTTCATTGGGACTGTAGTGACAGGACAAGGGGTGATGAGTTCAGACTGAAACAGGGGAAGTTCAGGTTAAATGTAAGGAAGTGTGAGGGTGATGAGGCTCTGGCAGAGGCTGCCCAGAGAAGTGATAAATGCTCCATCCCTGGCAGTGTTCAAGGCCAGGCTGGATGGGGCATGGAGCAACCTGGTCTAGTGTGAGGTATCCCTGCCCATGTCAGGGGGTTGGAACTAGATGAATGTAAGGTTCTTTCTAACTCAAACCATTCTATGACACTGGCTGGTCATATTTGTTATGGAAAAATGCATTGGACAAGGCTCTAGCTCAAGAAAATATAAACCAAGCTGTGTAATCTGGTAGAGGTAGATGCTTCTGAGCCTGGATTTTCCTGTGAATCATGGATGAACACTGGTCTTCCTCTCCGTGCCTATGTACAGGTCATGCCCATCTAACCCAACAATTACTCTTTCTTGTCCCATAAAAGGGAAGAATGTGTCAACACCAGGATGGCATCGTGGATTAGACTTCAGGCACAACTGATTTTGGGTGATGCTCTCCTGACTCACTGGGATCCCTGAAACAGGTCCATTCACCTCCGTGTTTCAGTATCACAATGTACAGAATGAACCCATAAATATCTTGCTGTAAAGTTTTATTTTGGCTGTGGTTAGGCAACACCTTTAGAAACCTTTGATCTCGTATGGAGTAAATCTGTTGTCATATAAAAGAGAGAAGATAGTAAAAATACAAAAGTACATCAGATGTCGATATTGGCAACTAAAGGCACAAACAAGCCTGGCTGTGGTCAGGGGAGAGCAAAGACCCAATTCTCTAGGAGCGCATCACTGCTGAAGCCTCCAGCTTTATAAAGTTCCCCTGTTTCGGGCCATTCCCTTCAGTTTGACTTTACTTCTCCTATTGCTCTCCTGTTCTTGACTAAGGTATGTGATTTGACTGATCATCCAGGGCATTTATGAAAGCTTATCGGTAGACTATAGCTCTGTGTTTACCCACTTGGCTTGGCTTTGCCTAAAACTGCTTGTTTATTGTGCATAGTGCAAGAAAGAGATACTTTCTATGGAGTATTTCTGATATTTCATTGATAAACAAGACAATAGAAATTAGGTTTTTGGAATAAATATCAAACTTACAGGAAAACATGATAGTATCTTATATGTCATTCAGAAGATATGTTATAGACAATGATAAAATTGGCGGGGGTGGGTGGAAAAAGGCCAAAGTTTCTACAGGTAAGTCCTCTATTTTTGGTTGGCCCTGCTTATCTTGAACTGCATAGCATCACTATGAAGTGACCATAAAATCATAGAATGGTTTGGGTTGGAAAGGACCCCAAGATCATCTAGTTCCAGCCCCCCCCAAATTGCTAAATATAAAAAAAATTGCATTAAAAAATACAGCATAATTGCATAAAAAGATATTGTCTTGCTTTCACCATAGAGCTACCTTTCCTTTTGGTGATTCCGCCACACAAAATGGCATGCTCTTCTGGGAGAGAATCCTTCTTCAACTTGAACTCAACCTGGTATGACCCAGCAGGCTCCTGGCTGGACACTCGGCGCACACCTCTCCTCTATGCCTACGGCTGTGGCTGTGCCCATGGCAGAGACTTGTGCCTGGGTGGCCACGACTACCGGCACTACGGCTACTACCGCTCGGTCTGCTCCGAGCCAGCACCGTGCCAGGGAAATGGGTGTTCTCACTGTGCTGGGGAGCTGGTGAGCAACTGTGAGGAGTGTGGAGCATGCCATAGCTATGGGGTGTGCTCAGAGGAGTGTTGTGGGGGATGCTGTGATTAATAGGAGATCAGGGTGTGAGGGACCTTGGCATGGTCTCGGACTGTCACACATTGCTGTATTCAGCCACAATGCTGTGTAGGAGCCCATCACTTGTTTAGGGCTGAGAAAGGTGCTTAGCACATAAAGTCCTTTCGCTTCTCTTTTCTCATGTTTCCTTGGGTTTATCATGCTTTTTGTGGTCTCTCTCCCACTCTTCCCCTGCTGACTTGACAGAGAATATCTCCTCTGTCTTCATGGCAGGGGGAAGGGGAGGGATAATTTCCTGCTGAATTTATGCAATCTGCTTTCCTGCTTCACTTCCCAGATGTGTGTGCTGAGATAAAACTCCAGCTCACAGGTTTGCTGTCTCTCTTCCTCTGGCTCTTTCTAAGTCTCTCCTTAAATGAATGACACAACCTGAAGTGCTTCAACCTGGCCAAGAGCGTAGGTGAAAACTTGGACTGCTTAGAAAGAATTAAGATAGGAGATTTTATCTCCCCTTCCCCTAAACGTTCTCAGTCAGACTCAAAGCCAGCCTGGAGCCTTGTGTCTGGCTTGGTTTCAACCTCCCATTTGGCACAGGATGGGTTTGGCCCTGGCAGAGGGGTACCTGGGTGTCTGGAGGGACAGGGACTGTCGATGGCATCACACAACAACTTCATGCACAGTCACTCTGACCCTGATGCTCTTTCCTTGCACCTGCAATCATGTACCTTGCATATAGGAATGATGCTCCTCGTTATTTTAATTAACAGTAATAATAAAACAAGTGTTAATAATAAGTTTCTCATTCCTTTCAAAGATTCAGTGCAAACCCTTTGCTAATTAAATATCTAGCACATTACACACAATACTGCTCTCAAACCACAGAGGCATGAATTCCTGCTGCAATCTGCTTCCCTGCTGGTGGACACTGGAGGAGAACCTGTGAATGAATCTAGTGCAATGTAAAATACATCTGCTGAATTTTATGGCCATCTGCCTATTTGATATTCTTTTTTTTTCTATATCTTCAAGGGAAACTTGGAAATTTTATAGTTTCTGCTGAGAAAATTTAGCTTAAACCTTGGTAGGAACTGGGAACATATTTTTGTTTCTCAGTCTTTCTCTTGTTTTCCAGGTGTGTTGTTTATAGGGCTAGAGTTCATAGTGGGAGTCAATGCTGCAGTGCATGGTCTGACTTAAACCCACTTTTATTTCGCATCAGCCAGTATTTCATCTAGGCAATTTGGACTTCTTGGGATTTTTAGGGAAGGTAGGGTTACCTATCTCACCCCATAGTTTCTGTTTAGGATAGGTCAGAAGCAAGATTAAGTATGATGTAGTCCTTCCTCTACTTATATCCTGTTGTTTATGGTGATCAGACCCTTAGAGATGGAGTCTGCTTCTTGCTCATCGGCCACGAATGAAGCTGAATCTTTGCTTTTGGCTCCTTCAGAATGTGCCTGTGAGGTTCTGAGGCTCAGGGCTGGTTGTTGCAGAGCCAAGCGCTTGGATTGGTGAGAGATCCTGATCTTTACCTTCAACCCAGACAGCTTTTGCAAACCCAGCATCTGGATTTGTCTGGCAGATGCACAAGGTGTGGGGACTGGAGAGCTGAGCTTAGGAACCCTGCTGCCATTGAAGTGCAAAGCAGCTCCCATCAATGAAGGTGAGCTTGGAATGATGCTAAAGATAAGAAGAGTAACAGTGGAAAAACACCAAGACACCAGCATATTTTGTGAGCTTTAAGTTTTAATATCACATCTTTGCTACTGGAGACAGAAGCAGGAAATCAATGGGTTGAAACTCTCGCGCGTGCGAGGGCAGTTCATGTTTCTGTCATGCTAATGCCACTTTGCCTTATCAGGAGTGGGGAGAGGTAATACGTGCTGGAGGGAAGGGGCAGGACCTGCCCAAGCTCAGGGCTGCATCTTGCACGGGGAGAGGGGAGAAGTGCAGCCCCCATCGAAACTCCTTGTCCCTTCACTTCTGCTGCTGCGGGGGCCACTGCACCGGCTGCTTGATCTGTTGTTGCTCCAGGCAGGGAGCAGGAGCCACCGGGACCTGCCCGGGCACGGTGACCACAGGGCCCTGGGGAGGGAGGACCACGACGGGTGTCACATCCTGCACGGCGCTCACTTCGTGGCAGACGACCTCCTCGGAGCCGTGGCAAGACCTCTCGCGGTCGTGGCAGGAGGAACCTCCGCTGTGGCAGGAGCTCTCGGTGTTGTGGCAGCCTCTGTCTCCACGGGAGCACATGGTTCGGTTGGGGTGGTCAACCCTAGGGAGGAGAAACCATTGTCAGTAAGTGTGTGAAGGGCAGCGTGTTTGCCTCCCTCTGCTTTGGCCTTTCCTTGGTGTGTTTTTGAGCCTGCTGGGGCTCGTCAGGATCTGCCCGTCCCGTTGCCCCAGCTTAGAGTTTTGTTCTCACAGTGCTGGACCACCCCACACCATCTCAAAGCCTCCATGACCCCCTCAGCATCCCTGATCTCCATCTCTCCCAGGCTCCATGAGCCATTTCCCTGCTCTCTTTTGCTGCATCCCATAAGCATTGGTGCAAGACACCCTGGGATTATCTCAGGCTGTGTAACGGAGGAGCAAATGAGCTGTGGGCTGACAGTTTATGCTGCACTGACAAGAGGTATATTGGCAAGGGTCTGAAAAACTCACAGCCTAAAGGGGCCCTGGCACAGGCAGTGAATTTGTAGCCAGGACTGGTAGTATCAGAGCCTTGGCAAAATGCACTTGCAAAGCCATTTGCTCAAAATGAAAATACTCCTCTGCCTTCTTCCCTTCTTGTGTCCTCTGCTCTCTCTGTGCCCTATGGACCCAATTTCCTGAGTTATGAGCATCTAAACCATCTTCTGAGGAGAGCTGAGATTTCAGGAGGCAGAAGGCATTCAGATGCAGGTAAGTGAGCTGAAGGCTGTTCATGCTGCTCCTTCCTCTCATCGCTTAAATCTGCCTTCTGAGTTCTTTCTTAAGGTTCTTCAATGACAGCTTAATGTTTTCAGCTCCTGAAGATTTCCATTTTCCAAAGGAGCTTAATAAAGCAGTCAGGCTTGGAAGTGCAATTAAAGTTCCTAGTTTAAACCAGAGGTTTCTTATGAAAGATCACCCTTCTGTCTCCCATTCATTCCCAAATCCCATCCATAGAATCATAAAATGGTTTGGCTTGGAAAGGACCTTAAAACCTTTCCTTTCTTATTTCCAATTTGTCTTTTGGGAACTGGGAGTCCTGAGCCCTGAAGTAATGCAAATATATCTATGTGTGATAAGAACAATACATTTTGCATAATAAATAGGCAATCTTGAGACCAATTTTGATGGCACAAAATTGCCCCAGCAAGAATTTGGCTCCCAATAATCCCAGCACCTGCGGACAGATCTGTCTGTTTAAGAACATAACTCTGCTCAGCTCAGCAAGTTATCATAGGAAGGAAACGTTAGCAGTGGAATAGCAACTCACCTTGGCTGTGAAGGCTCTGCAGAAGAAGAAGAGCGGAGTGAATGAGTTGCTCTCCCATCCGAGAACTTTTATACAGTTCCTAACTCCCTTCCTGAAAATGCAATAAACCCCTGGGGGAAAATGACCAACGTATTTACAAAACAGCCCCGCCTCTAATTATGCCCCATCTTCAAAAGCTTATTCAACCTGGTTTCTTTGATTGACTTGTCATACAGTAGATTGTCTTCCTTGTGTTACACAGCTTTAATTGCAACCCTGCCCCGTGCAGGTTGTAATGCTCGAAGAGTGAAAACCGTGTGGGTGGTTTGACTGTCTCACTGTCATGCCAAGATGAGTTTGAGGTTGCAAAATGGGTGGCAAAGGTGGTGCTTTTTTGGGTTTCTATCCTCCTGAAGCCTCTTGCCCAAAGTCTGGAAGGGAGGAGAGGTCACGATGACCGGTCACCTCTAAGTGCTCTTGGCAGGATTGGGTCTTGCACAGTGGACAAGAGGCAGCACTTTCAGGTCCTTGCCATAGAAACTGGTGAGTTTTTAGGAAGTCCTCATCACATGTGGATGCTGGAGCGGGAATCTTCATCAGGGAGTGTAGTGATAGGACAAGGAATGGTGGGTTCAAACTTAAACAGGGGAAGTTCAGATTAGGTATAAAGAAGTTCCTCCCTGTGAGGGTGGTGAGATGCTGGCACAGGGTGCTCAGAGAAGATGCCATCCCTGTCAGTGTTCAAGGCCAGGTTGGACATGGCTTGGAGCAACCTGCTTTAGTGTGACGTCCCTGCCCATGGCAGGGGTTGGAACTGGATGAGCTTTAAAGTCCCTTCCAACCCAAACCATTCCATGGCTCTGATTCTTTGATGTCCTCTGAAAGCATCTTTAAAGTTGTCTTCACCCTCTAAGACATCTGCAGGTGCCAGAAGTTTAGCCAAGGGTCCCCTCTTGATCTCTGCTCTCTGACTGTGTCATTGCCCAGAGCAATAAAAGCAGGATAATGAAGCCTGTGGCGACTGTGGCTGGCTCCAAGAGCTACAACTGGAAAGTGACCTGGCAAGGCCAGGTAGCGGTACAGGCCACTTTTGGATGTCTTGACTTATACCTATGAATACCCCCAAAATGTGGTGCAGTTTCTCTACCTGTGTCACCTACTTCATGTCAGATTTTACAGCCATTTCACTGATACTGACAGTTCCCCCTGATCTTCATTGCTGCCGTTTTTCCCTGGCCAACACTAAAAAGCCTTGACCACAATTGCTCTTTTAAAATGCCTGGTTTTCTGCTGTTTTAGTTGGTTTTTCATTTGCCTGGCTCTGAAGCAGCCATTGCCTGTGATGGGAAATATGTGCCTACAGAACCCTCTTGAGCAAACCTTGCACCCATGAGTAAGCTGTGAGTAAAGCACTAGCTCAGAGACCACGTACCTAGCTGACCATGCATCTCAAGCTCGCCCAGCTCTTCCCTAGGGCAGGATGGGTGCATTCTGGGTGCAGAGCAGCAGTCTGGCCCTGGTGAAATCAGCTGTGCAACCATGGCTTTGCAACAGCCCCGGTTTCACCTTTTTCCTCCCATTAGTGACTTGACTGTGCAATTTTTGCCCTCTGTTTTCACTCCTTTTGCACCTGACTCCCTCTGCAAGCATGGGAGTCAAGGTTTTGTTGGGCAGAGACTGACCGAACATCTGAAGCAGAGGGGTGGCTCCCACTTGCTATCTCCAAACAATTTCTTTAGCTTCTATCCAGAGGCACCAGTTCTGACTTTCATCAAGAAGCCAGATTCATGTTTACCATTCAACCTGCCTGTTTACTAACAGCCAAAGCAGAGGGGGCCCTGGCTTTTGCAAGCACCAACATGCTTGTGGGCAAGAGTCCTGCGTTATCACAGTTCGTCAGCCATGAAGAACGATGTTGCACAACAAGGGAGGAGGAAATCTTCAGGTACAAATGCGCATGTGTATCCTGTGTATAAAATCCAGCCTCTGCCTGCTCTCACCCTCATGCTGGAGATGAGCTATAGCTGCCCTAATGTGCAGAAGAAGGCAGTGGGATGCAGCCCCAGCTCCTTGTGTTCAAGATCTGGGTGCAAGAGCATCTTCCTTCTCCCTGGGTCTATTATACTATCACAGAACCCCAAACTGGTTTGAGTGGGAAGGAACTTTAAAACTCATCCAGTTCCAATCCCCTGCCATAGGCAGGGATACCTTCCACGAGAGCAGGTGGCTTCAAGCCCTGTCCAACCTGGCCTTGAACACTGCCAGGGATGGGGCAGCCACAGCTTCTCTGGCCACCCTATGCCAGGGCCTCACCACCCTTACATCATCGAGCCCAGTCAACATCTAAGCTTGTGGAATGCTTTTTGATACAGGCCTCAAAAAGCCAGCCAGATGAGACAGGGAATAAGGAATGTACTTCTAGTGTTTTCTATTTCTGGGATGTTTTTTTTGTCAGTTAGTCAAATAAACAAGAAGGTTTTGGATACTCCAGGCTAATCAATGTTCTGGAAGTCTCTTGGAAGTTGTTTGAGTTCCTTCACTACCTTTGGTGCTATCAGATAAAGTAGGGAAAATAACAGGAATCAATAATGAAGTGGTAGATTTTAGACATATAAGTGGATGCAAATAAATGATATCACAGACTAATTTTAGAATAGAATTTAATATAGCCGGTGACAAAACCTTGTGTAATGTTCCCCGTGCCACAGGCTTACAACATTTTACAGCGTGAATGATACCCATTGTGGCACCAAACACGTGGCTGGAGCTCAGAGGATTTTGGTTTTTATAAGCTGTGGTGTTTTACAAACATCAGAGCAAAGCTTTCTGGGGTTTTATTGAGCTGAAAGGGCCAAAATCTCTTTTGCAGGTGGGTGAAAGGTATTGTACAATGTAATTTTGTGCTCTTTAGTGTTCCTTTGAAATGGGCACAGATCTATGGGTGAGTCTTTCCCTTCATTACCAATATTTGGAGGAGTCAAAACACCCTAGGGAACAGTCCTGGAACCAAAATGTTTGGCAAATACCACATAACAACCAGCACTGGATGTTCAAGCCTCCCCCGTGTGTCCCATCAGCACAGAGGAGCCATCTTCTGCCTGTGCCTAATTTAGGGCCTGATCCTATCAAATGAAGCAGGTTAATGCGAAGAAGCGAACGAGCTTGTTCCAGTTGCCTCATCTGGTGCAAGCAGAAGGTTTACGTGCTCTTGGCTTACGACATCGCCTGCAATCTCCCTGGGCCAGGAGCCTGGTGTGTAATTTTTTCCAAGTAAACAACTCTGCACTCCCAAGGTCACGGTGTAAATAATAATCAGTTGGAAATCACCTAGGTATTTTGCATATCTCCTTACTGTAGCTTGTAGAGTCTGGCCATGGAGAGGGTCTCAGCAGGGCACAGCATTTCCATTTGATGGGGACAGCATGGGGGAAGCTCTGAGTTCATCAAGAGCAAAGCTAAGAACCTTCTCTTGCTGTTGAACATGGTTTAATTCTATTAAAATGAATATTATTTGAGTATGGTTGTAAAATACATACCAAAAATGTTTGAGGGTAAAGCTTGTGAAGTGGACTCACTGAGTACCTGGATTTTGAGTAGAGCCAGAAATGAAAGGATTCATTCAGATACTGGAATTTCCCACAGACTATGAAGTTTTATTTTCCAACCCACAAGCAAAAGGAGATGGAAAGAAGAATCCTTCCCTGTCACCAAAGCACAAATCACTTTTCCCAGCAGTGCTTGCAGCAATGTTTCTAGCACAGCCCAAAGTGAGGAATGCAGTAATGACATGGTTGGGTTTGTGCTTTGTGGCACATCCAGGGCACTTTTGCTTGAGCAGTGGTGGCTGCTGGGTCCGTCACTTCTTCTGGCTCTGGGGCCAGTGGTTGCTCTGCTTGATCTGCTGGGCCTCGATGTTGGGAACCACCACGGGGCATTTCTGCTGCACGGCCTGGGAGGACCCAGCACCTCCAGAGCTGAGCTCTGGGCCTGAGTATCCCCCTGTGCTATAGCCCGATCCCCCACTATAGTGCCCTGATCCACCACCTGCCCCTGGGATGCATCTCGGTGATGCATCGTATCCGTATCCACAACCTTCTCCTGCAGTGATGCCCATTCTCTCGCTGTGGCAGCCAGATCCCCCACCTGAGCTGCCAGTGATGCTCCTGCATGGGTCCTCACTGCCATACCCTATTCCTCGCCCAGCACCATAGACAGGGACTGTCCCCCCTCCAACTCCCCAGCCAGCCCCTCCACTGTCCCCACTGGATATTACAACAGATCCATCACTGCTACATCTGTACCCCCCTGATACACTGTAGGTGGATGATGTTGGCATGGGCTCGAAGGATGAAGCTCCCCGGCTGTACATGACCGAGCCTTCCCCACCACAGAAGAAGGAGCCATGTCCCTGGATGTTTGGGAAGCCGTGGTGCGAGGAGATCTCATTGCTGTAGCCCCTGTTCCGCCGGCCGCATCTCATTCTCCCTCGGAGATAGTGATAAATCTGAAACAGGAAACAGTCATACCCCAAATCTGGACCATTTTCATTCAATTTTTGTACCATTTTCAGATGGTGTGGTCAGAAAAGTGTGTATGTGGGTGAGCATGGGACAATGCCAGGCTTCAAAATTGGGTTCTATCTAGCTGTTCTTCAAATGCAAGAGTGTTTGATTCTTACTTGCAGAGATTCTCTTTTTCTCCAGGGTGTATTTTTAGAGAAATCAAAATCTGAAATATATTCCTGTAATATGTGATAACTACCATGGTTTTCCCCACTCATCTTCATGAGCTGTAAAAACAGCGAGGATGAGCCTTGCTTCTGTTTTTAAAACATGGCAAGAATGGTGGATCCAAATATCCATGCAAGATGACATCGCTGGCTGTTTTATTGCCATCATTGCAAATCATCCCCAAAAGTCTATTACATAAGGTAATCGGCACATAGAAGCATGTAACCACTGTGAAACACAACACAGGCTTGTTGTTTTATATCAAGAATGTGCCCTGCATGTTGCAAACACCTTCAAAACTATAAAGACAAAGCAGTCACCACATGCTGGTCCAACTACAGACTCAGCTGAGTTTTCAGCCTCTTTCAGCACCATGACCTGGCTTCACCTTGCTTCCCACGGATCTGATCCACACCAAAGCCAGAAACCATACAGATCCTGAGACCCTCTCTATGGATTGTCAGGCAGCATGGATACTGCTGCAAGCACGTGTCAAGATCTCAGGTGAAGCTATCTCCTTTGAGTATGAAATAAGAAAGACCCATAAAAGAGCAGACTTACCCTTCTCAGCCATCGGAAACACATTTAGAAGCTAAAAGTCGACTGAATGAGGAACTTTAACAGACAGGAGCTCTTATATGGCATTTAACATATATGGGAAGTGAGACACACTAAGGAATGGCAAGGATTTATTTACCAAACACTGATTTCAGTGTTTGCTTTGACTCATGACATCTGATCAATATCTTTCCTTCGTACTGCTCGTTGAGTTGCATGAGGCAGTAATTGCTACTTCTGCTTAATGATCCTATTCCTGTGCTCCTGCCCTGTGCTATGGAGGACCGCTTTGAGGTGATGATGCTGGGGGAGACCAGGGGAAGTGGGTGAGAGGGTGAGTGTAGGGAAATGCTGAGCAAAAGTGTGGGGCAGAGGGTGGTGGTGGCCAGGTCCTACTCAGTGAAGGGCATGGAGGCTGGTTCAGCAGTGATAGCAGTGCTCGGGGATTGCTTAAGATAGTGATGTGTGGGTACCCATGGGAGGGGAAGACAAATGCTCAGAAGGCATCTGGTGGTACAACACAGCACATGAATGCCTCCAGCATCTCACTGGTGGCTCCAGTGGGAGATTTGCCAAGGAAGATATTTACATTCAAACCAGAAGCTCATCAGAATTTTGCAAGGGTGTTAGAGACACTCTGAGAAATCTTAGAGGCCCTGGGGAGACCTGTGGAGGTATGGATGTCCTAACACTTAAATCTACTGTGACTGGGTTACTCTAATGAGGGATTATGCCTCCAAATGCTTTCCTTCCTCATTTTTGTATTCTATGTCCTTCCTCTGGCTTGGAAACAGCAACAAGCACCAGGGAAACTGTTCTGGAGGGCTGCAGGGGACTTGTGCAGTGGCCATGCTGGTAGTGCTGCCTTGTATGATGTCCTCACTGCAGCCTGTTGTGCTCCAGCTTGAGCCCACAGCACGGCTTTTGGGCTGGATTAGGTTTTTCCAGCTCTGCTGTGGGGACAGTGAGTCCCAGCATCGGTAAAAGGCCATGTCTAGGCCACATCTGGCAGGCAGAAAGCCGTGCATGGAGGTGGTGGTGCTGCCCTTGGCATTTCAAGGCAGATTTCAAAAGCTCGGGCAAGGAGGGATTGATGGCCTGGAGACATGATTTGGGGTGTGTTGAGCTGCCTGAGGGACTTGCTGCTGGTTCTATTTCCTTCTGCCTGGCCTAGGGCTGATTTGCCTGACTCAGTGTGTTGAGACTTGCCCTCTGGGTAGAGATGTTCTGAGGTTTGCAAAGCTCAAGGGAAGGAGAATATGGCAGGGACATGGACATTGGCTTGGTGTTATTAACCACCCCCATGCAGCAAGAGCTGCTGTTGAGGGTCAGCCCTGATCCCTGCTTTTCAGGACTGAGCCTCCTGGGCTTGGTCATGTCTCCCAGCAGCACCTCATTGCTCCACAGACATGGTCATTGCATGCTGGTACCTCAGAGGACATGGAGCCATGAGCTGGGATGGAGCTTCACAGTGCTCAGGCACCAAAAGGATGTCGGATGCTGTGGTTGTTCCATGTTCTAGGCTGTGCTGTTGCACTGTCATGGAGAAGTGGGGAAAATGAAGGGCTATAAAGTGGGTGGCTTTAGAGCTGCACCAACAGCAATACACTATTGAAGTCAGCATGTTCGTTACAGAGAGGAGTAAAATGCCCTCTCTAGCTTCCAAGAACATAAGAAAAAAGAAACTTTTTGCCAAAGACACTTAAGATATTATTACATTTATTAGATATAAAATATGCTCCTTGGAAAAGCAGCAGAACCATATCAAAAGCATTTTAACAGCACCAGGCTGTTAACCCTGGACTTCACAGCACAGAGATGCACCATCAAGGGAAGAGAAGAGGAAAGGAGCAGGCAAACAGAGCCAGGTCCGGAGGTACAAAGGTGACATGGCAGAGGCAGGGCTGTTCTTGCAGACTGCCAAGGCTGCCTTCGGCTGTTACTTGTGGTATCTGGGGAGCCAGTGGCAGGACTGCTTGGTTTGATGGGACTGGATGTGGGGGACGACAATAGGGCATTTCTGCTGGGAGGACTGATAGGACCCTCCGCTGCCCCCTCCAGAGCTGATGATTGTCTGGCCTGAGGAGCCACCACTGTATCCTCCGCTGCAGCATCCAGATGAGCCTCCTCCACCACCTGAGCTGATGATGATCTGGCCAGATCCCCCACTGGATCCACCGCTGTAACCTCCTCCTATACCATAGCTTGAGGAGCCCCCACTGCAGCAGCCTCCAGAGTATCCTCCACTGCTTCCACCTCCAATGATGCTCTTTGATCCTGAATACCCACCACTGGATCCTCCACTACAGCCTCCAGAGTACCCTCCACTACCTCCACCTCCAATGATGCTCTTTGATCCTGAATACCCACCACTGGATCCTCCACTACAGCCTCCAGAGTATCCTCCACTGCTTCCACCTCCAATGATGCTCTTTGATCCTGAATACCCACCACTGGATCCTCCACTGCAGCAGCCTCCAGAGTACCCTCCACTACCTCCACCTCCAATGATGCTCTTTGATCCTGAATACCCACCACTGGATCCTCCACTACAGCCTCCAGAGTACCCTCCACTGCTTCCACCTCCAATGATGCTCTTTGATCCTGAATACCCACCACTGGCTCCTCCACTACAGCCTCCAGAGTACCCTCCACTGCTTCCACCTCCAATGATGCTCTTTGATCCTGAATACCCACCACTGGATCCTCCACTACAGCCTCCAGAGTATCCTCCACTGCTTCCACCTCCAATGATGCTCTTTGATCCTGAATACCCACCACTGGCTCCTCCACTACAGCCTCCAGAGTATCCTCCACTGCTTCCACCTCCAATGATGCTCTTTGATCCTGAATACCCACCACTGGATCCTCCACTGCAGCCTCCAGAGTACCCTCCACTGCTTCCACCTCCAATGATGCTCTTTGATCCTGAATACCCACCACTGGATCCTCCACTACAGCCTCCAGAGTAACCTCCACTGCTTCCACCTCCAATGATGCTCTTTGATCCTGAATACCCACCACTGGATCCCCCACTGCAGCATCCTCCTCCACCACCTGAGCTAACAATGATCTTCTGGCTAGATCCCCCACAGGATCCACCACCGTAGCCTCCTCCAATGCCATAGCTTGAGGAGCTTCCACTGCAGCAGGATCCACCTCCTCCACCCCCAGAGCTGATGATGATCTTGCCACCGCCGTAGCTGCCTGAGCCCCCACAGTAGGAGGAGCCCCCGCTGTGGCAGCCACTGGATTGATAGGACATTCCATGGCAGCCTCCGGAGCTCTGTCTGGAGCACATCTTTGAGCAGGGACCCTGCAAGAAACAGTGCTGTCAGAAAGGAGCACCTTGGAGATGCTGCTGAACCTTCATAGCAAACCAGAGATGGAGCAGTAACCAGGAAATACCCCATCTTCCCCTTCTTCTGCAGTCCTATGAGACTGGCAGCTCCATAAACTCCCTCACCCTTGTTAGGCAGCAGGGAAGACCTCAAATGAAAAGCACCCATGGCCTGGTCTGCAGATCACAACAGGTATGGAAATACTCTTCAGGCAGGGAGATTGAAAGCACTTCTAGAGATCTGCACATGTGCTCTGACATGTTGAGAGCCAGCAGTCTAAAAGGTTTAGTCCCACTCTAGATCCTTCTGGATGTCCAGACTGCTAAAACTCACAGCAGCTGAAAATTCAACCCTTAGAATGTTAGCTACAACTCCCTTTTGCAGGGAGTCCAGTCCAGTTGGCACACCAAATTGGTCTGGATGAACCCCATCCAATGTTGAGCCAGGATGGTTCCCTCATTCAAAGCATGCTCAAAGACCAACTGGTGGAGCAGCCTCTTTGCATTGGGATCAAAAGTTTTCCATATCAATGGGCTTACCTTGAGTGCAAATGGAAATGTGTGCAAGGCTCCGTTGCAGGTGAATGAAGAGCCTTGGGATAGGTGAGCTTTTATATCAATACATTAAGCTCTTAAGGGAAGTGAGACACCCTATGGAATGCTGATAGATTTATTTATGAGCCTGGCTTTAGATACCTCCTTCTTTGACTCACTTGAAGCATATAGGTGCTGACGAAGGAGATGTATCAATCATGTTCTTCATCGCTGTTGATAATTCTACTCAATGATTCATTTTCAGGAGTCTAGCTCCGAAACTTAGGGTCAAACATCTTCTGGGGGTCCTCTTTGGTGGCTCCCCAATGCATTGCTGCGAGGCTGTAGCTTTTTGGGTACTCAGTAGGGTGGAGACAAAGCAGATGCTGAAGGATGGAGGCTGAAGTGAGTTAGGCTTGGAGTGTGATGGAAGGACAAAGGTAAAGGATGTTACAGAGTAGGGTCCCAGGGATTTCGGGGGGAAAGAGGGTTTCTTCAAAAACTGGAAAGATGGGGAGCTAGGTGGGGAGCAGGCCTGTGTCCAGTCCCTTAGGAAAGGCAACTATGTGGTCAACAGGCCAGAGCTACAACCTGTAATGGGCAGTGCACTGCTTTGGAGCACTTCAGCCCAAATCCATTTCAGAGGGCCCCATGAGGGTTGCAAAGACGTGGTGGCCACTTCCCTTCACCATTTTGGGTCCCCAGGGTGAATTCTGCTGTTGGATTGAGCAGAGATTATCCGTGTTCAGCCCCAGCTTCCCGGAGTCCCAATCACCCCTTTCTTTGCAAAGGTGCATTTGAAGGCCATCAAGACCCTACCCTTGAACTCTAGAACATTCAACATCTCTTCTGTCTCAGCAAGACCTATTTTCTGAGGGTCCTGCTTCATGCCTGGGGCTGGGGAGGTATCTAGGTCTTTTGCTTGTTGGAGAATGACAGTTTGTGAGAGTTATTGCAGTGCTGGCTGCTGTATTTGCAGCAGCTTCACCCTGTCACTGCGTCACGCGTGCTTAAAGGTTGACAATAACATCCACCCTCAATGGAGACTGAGTAGAGGAAAGAATAATTGGGGGGTTTTAGTCAAGCAGATGCATGACAGCAGCAGCAGACAGCCCAGCCCTGTCACAATGGAAATGATGGTGAGCATGGATGCAACTCCATTGGTATGGGGACGGGACCATCAACACCAGGAACATGGGTTCAAGGGGCTTCCTTCATTTTGCTTTGGACTCCCTCCAGTGGCCTTAGCTCCACTCTCATCACCAATGGGAAATTGAAGGTCTCAGTGCAACTCTGGCTCTAACCTGTGAAATCAATCTGGGCGTTGTGCTACAGCATCACAACACCTTGATCCCTTCCGTGACTTCACCCTGTAGGGACTTGCACAAAGGGGCACCTAGGATTTACAGCTCATTGGGATCCAGGGTGTGAGGGAAGGCTGTGGAAGCTTTTGCCAAGGGTGGTGAGAAGTGGTCATGCAAATGCTGCTGTGTAGAGACCCCAGGGCTGAACCCTGCAGGGACTGGAAACATGGGACCTGTAGGGGACACGTGTAGTGCTTGCCACACATGGAGGAAGGTGGTTGGAACCAGAGCTGCTGGAGAGGTCAACATTGCCACCACTTCCCCTAGGATAAAGAGGAAGAGTTTTGGGTGAAGGCAAGGATGAATGCAAGAGGATTTGTGGTGGAGGCTGCCTCAAATGTGGGCCATGCTGCCTGTTTTCTGATGCTGTCTGGGCTCTTTTCAGCCCTATAGACCAGTCACCCTCAGGGTGGGCAGACCGGTCAAATTGCCTTTCAGTCTCACCATTGCAAACACCACAATGGGTAGTGCCTTGATGGGCATTGCTATGAGAGAAATAAAACCTTACCCAGCTCCTACAGCTTCCCAGCAGCTTCCTTCATGCAGAACAATGCCAACACTGATAGAATGGGACGTGGTAAAGTACTTGTGTAAGAAGAGCTCTCTAGCTCCAAAAAGCAGAAATTGTTCAGTCAACTCAAGTGACTTGAGATCCCTCAAGTGTTTGGATCCCTTAGTTTTGTTTCCTACCTACCAGTTGGATGTGTAAGATGGATAAAAACATCCACTTAGCTCAAAATGTCCTGAATGGAAGACTGTCATCACATGTATCCTGAAGAGGAACTCCTGCTGACCTCAGCACAAATGCTACTGAATGTTGCCTACCATAATTAATGGTTGTCTTGTGACAGATCTAGAGCAATGGGGCCAATGAAACCCAACTGTATTTCCAAAGGGTGCTATCGTCTGCCCTGGCAACTCCTGCAGTGAAACCCAGAGCCTGTGATCTGCTTCCTTCTCTGGGCAGGGGAACCAAGGTGGAGGCATTTCCCAGGTTAAAGTTGGAGCCTTTATTTGCCAGAGGGACAACAGTCATCTGCTTAAGAAACAGGGTTTTTCCCAAGCAAGACCTGTTCGGAACCCTCTGCTCCAGCACTCAGGTTGAAGAACATTTCACAGAGGAAAGTATTTGATGTGTTATTCACTTTCTGAAAGTAAACATGGGACTGACAAAGGATGAAAGCAACCGTGAAAAACCAGTTCTCTTAGTACACAGTAATCTTTATTTGCCTTCCTATGAATGGGACAGAAGATCCATGTGAGAGGTCACAGCACAGGGGTGTAGCATCAAGGGAAGACAAGGGGAGAGGACATGCAGGGAGGAAACAGGCAGATATGGAAGACAAAGGCAGCGATGTTCTTGATGACAACAGGGCTTCTGTGCCTGTTACTTCTGCTGGCTGGAGGGCCAGTGGCAGGACTGCTTGGTTTGATGGGACTGGATGTGGGGGATGACAATAGGGCATTTCTGCTGGGAGGACTGGTAGGAGCCTCCGCTGCCCCCTCCAGAGCTGATGACGATTGTCTGGCCTGAGGAACCACCACTGCCACCACTGGATCCTCCACTGCAGCATCCAGAGGAACCGCCACCACTTCCACCTCCAATGATGATCGTGCCTCCTGAAGACCCTCCACTGGATCCCCCACTGCAGCAGCCTCCAGATGAGCCTCCTCCTCCACCACCTGAGCTAATAATGATCTTCTGTCCAGATCCCCCACTGGATCCCCCACTGTAGCCTCCTCCCATGCCATAGCTTGAGGAGCCCCCACTGCAGCATCCAGAGGAACCTCCACTGCTTCCACCTCCAATGGTGCTCTTTGATCCTGAATACCCACCACTGGATCCCCCACTATAGCCTCCAGAGGATCCCCCACTACCTCCACCTACAATGATGATTCCGCCTCCTGAAGACCCACCACTGGATCCCCCACTGCAGCATCCAGAGGATCCCCCACTACCTCCTCCACTTCCAATGATGCTCTTTGATCCTGAATACCCACCACTGGATTCTCCACTATAGCCTCCAGAGGATCCCCCACTACCTCCACCTACAATGATAATACCGCCTCCTGAAGAAGACCCACCACTGGATCCCCCACTGCAGCAGCCTCCAGATGAGCCTCCACTGCCTCCTCCACCTCCAATGATGCTCTTTGATCCTGAATACCCACCACTGGATCCTCCACTATAGCCTCCTGAGTATCCTCCACTGCTTCCACCTCCAGTGATGCTCTTTGATCCTGAATACCCACCACTGGATCCTCCACTATAGCCTCCAGAGTATCCTCCACTGCTTCCACCTCCAATGATGCTCTTTGATCCTGAATACCCACCACTGGATCCTCCACTATAGCCTCCAGAGTATCCTCCACTGCTTCCACCTCCAATGATGCTCTTTGATCCTGAATACCCACCACTGGATCCTCCACTGCAGCCTCCAGAGGATCCCCCACTACCTCCACCTACAATGATGATAGTGCCTCCCGAAGACCCACCACTGGATCCCCCACTGCAGCATCCAGAGGAACCTCCACTACCTCCACCTCCAATGATGCTCTTTGATCCTGAAGACCCACCACTGGATCCTCCGCCCGTGCTGGATCCTCCACTACAACATCCAGAGGAACCGCCGCCACCACCTCCACCTCCAATGATGATCTTGCCCCCTGTAGACCCACCACTGGATCCCCCACTGCAGCAGCCTCCAGATGAGCCTCCTCCTCCACCTCCTGAGCTAACAATGATCTTCTGGCCAGATCCCCCACTGGATCCACCACCGTAGCCTCCTCCAATGCCATAGCTTGAGGAGCCCCCACTGCAGCAGGAGCCTCCTCCTCCACCCCCAGAGCTGATGATGATCTTGCCGGAGCCCCCGCTGCTTCCTGAGCTGGAGCCCCCACAGCAGGAGGAGCCGCCGCTGTGGCACCCGCTGGACTGGGAGGACACCCCATGGCAGCCTCCGGAGCTCTGTCTGGAGCACATCTTTGAGCAAGGACCCTGCAAGGAGCAACACGTTTTTACTCAGGAGCAGCCATTGTCATCAGGAGAATATTCCCCAGCCA